CAGGAGGGGAGGACGAGACGTGTGGGAACGAAGCAACGTAGGATGAGAATGCTGAACAGGAGAGACAAGACCAGCACGAGAGGGACGGCGAGACCAGACGTGAGACGGAGGCGTCGGGTCAGGAGATAGAGGAGGAGTAATAAAAGGGGAACGAGAGGGGAAACGAGCCGGGGACGAGTCCGGCGGAGGAAACACAGGACCGTGAAAAGGAAGAGGGGGAGCCGTCGAGGGAGGCGCAGACAAGCAGTCAGGGGCGGGAAGGCCGAGCAGGCAAAGGGCGGACACCGGCGGCGGCTGCTGCTGCTGCTGTTGAATGCCAACACCTGGACCAGCAGCTGCACCACTGCTACCTCCGATACACTCCACGCCAGCACCCCCAGAACAAGAAACGTCTCCAGCGCCGGTGCCACCCCCGAGCCCGTTGGGACAAGCCACAACAGGAGCCCCAGGATTAGCACCCTCTCCAACTCCGGCACGGCTAGAGTCCACGAACGGCTGCGGCTGCGACGACGGCTGCGGCTGCGGCGGCGGTGACGGCGGCGGCTGCGGCGGCGGCTGCGGCTGCGGCGACGGCTGCGGCTGCGGCGGCGACTGCGGTGAGGGAGGAGGAGACACCGGGGGAGGGACAGGCGCAAACTGCGCCGCGGGGCCACCGGAGTCAGCAGACTCCTCGACCTGGACAACCGACGGGAGGGGAGTGATGTGAGACACACCAGACGGAGCAGGACGGGGAGGGAGGGGAGCAGGGGCGACTGGGGGAGTGGGAACCAAAAACAATGGGGGGGGAACCGGGAGACCTCAATGAGGAAAGCAATGGAAAAAGGAGACAAACTCATCGAAAGTGACGTCACGGGAGTGAAGGAAGCGGTGAGACGGCGGGAAACCGACGAAGACACAGGGGATGGTGCAGGCAGTGAGCTTGTCCGTGCTGGAGGCACGAACGTGAGCGAGGCAGCCCCAGGCGTGGAACGCAGACGCGTCACCAGGGAACCCGGTCCAAAGAAGGGTCGGTGAAACCTGCGGCCGCAGGGAGCGAGGCCAGAGGTTAAGCTGGTGAGCGGCGTAGCGAATGGCAAACGGCCACAGAAAATGGGGTGCACCGGCATGGATCATGGAGGTACGAGCCACCTGCATGACCAAACCGATGCGTCGCTCAGCGACCCCATTCTGCTGCGGGGAGTCCGGTAGGGTGTACGTCTGGGTGATACCCTCCGCACGACAGAACTGACCCAGCCAGCCAGAGGCGAACTCGCCGCCACGGTCGGAGTGGTGACACAGCACAGGGAAACCACGGTGGAGGTGCGCAGCGACGAGCCACGAGACAAGAATGTCAGGCACGTCGGCCTTTCGCTCCAGGGGAAACACCGGGGTGTAGCGCGTGAAGTTGTCAACGAGCACCAGAAAGTAGCGCTCGCGACGCGGTCAAGGGACAGGGGTGGGGCCCCAGACGTCCAAGTGTAGGGTCTGAAGGGGTGCAGTGGCAGGGCGAAGTGAGGAGGAGTGAGGAGCATGGCACAGCCGGCCCTCAACGCAGGGCGTGCATGGCGGCACAGGCGAGGGAGGGAGAGCAGGGAGCGACGTAGAGAGGCCGAGGACTCGACCGTGCTGAGACATGTGACGCAGGCGGGGGAGCGCGGGGTGACTTAGGTGGTAGTGCCACAACAGTGACGGGTGGATGAGCGACCGACACAAACAGGCCGCAGCTACCTGGGTGGACGCAGAACTGGAGGAGGACTTGCCCGCCAAGGGGGGGAGCAGTGTCCAGCGTAAACAGGCCAGACACAGGATCCCGGGGGAACGTCGCAAGGGGGGCACCTGAGGCGGCCTCGGAACAGACCGCGTACCGCTCGTGACCAGGGAACATAGTGGTGACGCCAAGGTCCTGAAGACAGCCGGCACCAACTAAGTTCCTGGAGAACGAAGGGATGTGCAGGCTCGTAAGGGAACCCGAGGGAACCGCCGGACAGGGAAGGGTAGTGTAGCTACGAGCAACTACAGGACTAGAGGAGGAGTCTGCAAGGGCGACAGCGGCAGGCGCAGCAAGCGGCGTGAGGGCGGCGTTGTCGCGGAAGAAACAAGCTAACGCACTGGAGTCTAGAGTGAAGGAGAGCGACGCCGTAGTTGCCGAAGACGTTGGAGCATGGGTAGAGCCTAGGCTAGACAAAGCAAGCTGTCCTATGCCTGACGCAGCAGGGGAGTCTGGACTATACACAGGTGCTACGCCTAATCTAGAGAACACAGAGTAATACGATCCGTAAACACTCGAAGTGTCAGCATACAGAGTATGCAAGGCATAACTAATCTGATCAATGTTTAAGTCAAACACAGGCACACCGTGGCGCAGCAGGCTGGGCCAGTCAGGGAGGTCCGGGGCAGGACCAACGCGGCAACGGAAGAGGTCGTCGAAGTGGCGGAAACATCGGGCGGTGGGGTGCGAGCGGCGGCACACCGTGCCATGTAGAGGCCCAGTCTGAAGCTGGTACTGGCAGCTCACAATACGGAAGCTGCCGGTGGACGCCGAGCTGCGAGGGCCACCACCACGACCACCACCGCCAGGAGCTCCTGGCCACCCAGGCGAGAGACGAGCCTACAGCTGCTGCTGCGGCTGCTGCTGCTGCTGCTGGGACGGCTGCGGCTACTACGGCAACTGCGACTACGGCGGCTGCGACTGCGGCGACTGCTGCTGCTCCTGGGCACCAGCACCAACCCCCTCATCAAAACCACTGTCTTTGCCACCACCACCACTAGTGCCACCTCCACGTCCTCCCTTGGGGCCATGGCGTCCCTAGCGCTGGCGCTGCTGCGAGTAAGCCGCAGCTGCTGTCTCAGGTGCAGGCGCAGTCGTGGCAACTACGACGGATACGTCAGCGTACGTGCACTGGGAGGGGGCACAGCCCTGAAAGATAGGGACTGCCGCAACACCGCTCGACTGAGCGATAGTGCGCTGGCGAGTCTCTATCTTAGACAGAGTAGTGACAAAGGCGGTCAGGGTGAGGTCGGCAGGGTGCTTACTAAGGAAGTGGTCGCGGGCAAAGGCTAAGCGGTCAGGCAGGCGCATGGCAATGAGGTACAGTGTAGCGTAGAAAGGTAGGGGGAAGGCAGTATGCTGGGCGGTAGAGCTAGCAGCGCGGTAGCTGGTCTATAGTGCACGGAGGTGAGTAGCGAGGTCAGCTATCGTGGGGAAAGCAGAAAGATCAGGGAAGAGCATGGGTAGGATAAAGCGGCCAGCAAAGGCGGAAGCAGGTGTGGAGTAACGCTCAACCACTGCAGCAAGAAAGTCCTTGGCGTTCGCGACAGCGGTAAAGCGCGGACGCTCAGACAGGGGGAGGGCATGGCTAATGGCAAGCTGGGCTACTGCGTCGTGAGAATCCCAGATAGCTCGAGCAAGCGCAGCACCAGCAAAAGCCTCGCTCTCAGCAGTGGTAGGGTCAGGAGGGAGGGGATCAGGCGCAGGGGGGCGGGGAAGCAAACCGTCAACATGCATAGCCAGGGAGTGCCCATCCTGGCGCTGACCTGTCAGGTGCCGGCGGAGGTCGACGAGCCTGGCGGCGAAGTCGATCGCGTGCCCCTCAGCGTCCAAGCGAAGAACGGCGTCCGCCATCGCACAGTGTGACAGCGGCACAGCGGCTCAGCGACTCGGCGGCTCGGGGACACGGCAGAACGGCGGCGCGGCAGCTCGGCGGCACGGCGGCTTGGCGGCGCAGGTGCTCGGCGGCTCGGGGACACGGCGGCTCGGCGGCTCCGGCGGCGAGGCCGGCTAGGGCGCAAGGGGCCGGATAGGGCACATGGGGCCGGCTAGGGCGAGCGGGGCCGGCAAGGGCGCGTGGGGCCGGCTAGGGACGCGGGGGCGGCGGTAGGAGCACGAGGGGCCGTAGGGGCGCGAGGGGCCGCTAGGGGCGCGAGGGACCGGTAGGGGCGCGACGGGGCCGTAGGGACGCGACAGGGCCGTAAGGGCGTGACGGGGCCGTAGGGGCGCGACGGGGCTAGCTAGGGGCGCGACGGAGCCGGCTAGGGGCGCGAGGGGCCGTAGGGGCGCGACAGGGCCTGCTAGGGGCGCGACGGGGCCGTAGGGGCGCGACAGGGCCTGCTAGGGGTGCGACGGGGCCGTAGGGGCACGACGGGGCCGTAGGGGCGCGACGGGGCCTGCTAGGGGCGCGACGGGGCCGTAGGGGCGCGCGGGGCCAGCTAGGGGCACGAGGGTCCGGTAGGTGGCGGCACGGGACGGAAGCGGGTGGGTGGACCTACCTACTCGTGATACCATGTTGAGACTAGAAAGAATGAATAGAAGAAGGGAGAACATGGGAGATATAGCGTTTGGGTTGTACCCACTAAGAACATACCCTATCTAGCCTATAACTTCTACATAACAATATATGTATAAGTTGACACATCTGTCATGAATGATCACTCAGAGTATAGCGTAGAATTCTATAAGGGGAACATGATTACAGAGTGCCCTATCCAAATGAGACCTAGGGCTTATATAGTGCGAGTTGACTAGGTTGAGTGTCGAGGGTTGGACCATTTAAGGGCTCGATAGTCCCAAGGGTGACGGGGTCAAAATGGGTTCTGGGTGACTCGGGATAAGGTTGGGGCCGACGAGGTCGACGGGGACTGGTTTGAGGGCCGAGCCTGCGGACGCGAGCTGTTCGCGCGTACTCGCTGTGGCGAGCCCCAGTAAGGAATCTTAATTCCTTACAAGACCGGCCACGAATATCTGTCTGATGATCAGACGAAGCTCTAGGAGCACGTCTGGTTTTCAGACTGCCCTAAAAACTAACAGGAGCCCTGGTTCAGACGTTTTATGTGTAGTTTGCCCACTTCGTGAAATCTATTTGTCATTCTCATTCCCGAATCGTTATTTTCTGCACGCCAAATGACAATACATCGTAACGAGCACGGCTGCAAGAAGTGTGAAAGTGGCGCAAATGCGTCCCCTCCCCGATTGGGCTGAGGGCCTAACCCGTTCCCCGTCCTTTGGGTTGTTCGACCTCTCGGGCTTTGGCTGACGACCACGCGACGCGAGCTGTCTCATGCTGCACCACCAAGGTCGTCAGCATACGAGTTTGTGACCGGCGACAACTGGACGACGAACACACGCGACACGAGGGTCGCCCGCTTGAGCGGGTGTTTAGTGTTGAGCGGCTACGGCAAGGTGCGGTACTGTGAGGAGACTGAACAGAGAGGTGGGAGCTCTGCAGTACGGTGAACAACAGCACCCCTCGGCATTCTAAGCCAGTGGCTGCCACGGCTGTCGCACCTCCATGCCCGGGCCCACCTCCGCCAGTCCGGGCCTGCCCCGCCGATGCCGCTGCTGTCGCGTTCAGGCTGGCGGCGTGTGTCCAGCAGGCGGGGTTAGATAGGACGCGAGATCGGCGGGCTATCCCTTGGTGGCGCCACTCCACGGAACCGTTTCAGAAGCGTACGCTAAGAGAGCCGAGGGTGCTGTGGATTGTCGCTGTGTCCATGTCAACGCGAGGGCGACATGGCTGCGTGTGTCGCCAGCGACGTGTGTGTCGCCAGCGATGCGTGTGTCGCCAGCGACGCGGGTCCAGCGCGGGTCAGAAGCCGACGAGAGGGACTGGGCATCAGCGGCGTGTGACCGTTGACGCGCCGTGCCGTGCCGCCACGCCACGAGCGCCTCAGACGGGACTTCCGTCTGCATCAGCACCGAGGGTCGGCCGGCAATCTCGAGGCCACGAGTAGATGGCGACCCGCGGTCTTGGGACGGAGCGCATGGTGCCCTTTCGCTCCTTGTGCGGCGTGATGCAGTCGGTTCCACTATTTAAGATCGCTGCTCGTGTCCCAATGTCGTCAACCTCAATCGCGACTTCATCGCCATCGCTCGTTGCGTTTCCTTGCGGCGTCCACGCCGATTCCAGCGCTCGCCGATCCACTCGTCGATCCCAGCAGCGACCGACTGGCGCTCGCCGCCGTCACCATGCGCCACCTCGCCTTCCCGCTGCTCGCACCGCTCCTCGCCGCGGCGGCACTCGCGGCCGCCCTTGAGCCTGTGCGCGTTGCGCCGCTAGCGGGGCCGGCTTGCGTGAGCGACTTCCCGCGCCGCCCGCTGTGCAAGTTCGTGGACGACCTGGTGGCGGCGCCGCGCGTGCAGGTGGACGCGGCCACGGGGAGGACCATCCAGATCGGCGTGTACCAGATCCTCCAGGCGCGTGCGCTCCCCCTCTCTCCCTCCCTCCCTCTTTTCTCTGTCTTCCCCTCAAAATCCCCCCCCCCCCCCAGTCCCTTCCCCTTACACCCCTCCCCCCCCTCTCCCTCCCGCGTCACCGACTCACTCGGACCGTAACCTTTCCCACTCGGCCTGCCCCCCCACACCAAAGCTCCATCGTAACCTTCCACAGACCAGGCTGCACGCATATGCGCCACCCTCACTTGCTCACTCGCTTGCTTCCCGCGTGCCCCTCCCTCCCTCTCTCTCCCACTCTTGCCCCCCCATCACCCCCCTTCCACCCCCCTCGCCAGAAGCTGCACCGCGACCTGCCGCCCACGAAGCTGTACGCATATGGGCTCAGCGAGCGCACGGCGCGCTACCCCGGACCCACGCTCGTGGCCAGACGGGGCGTGCCCACCAAGGTGCGGAGGGCACTGGGATATTGTGCTGGTAGCAGCCGTGCTCTGTTACTCCTCCTGCCACCCCTTCAACTGTAGACATTTCGGTAAGCCAGTGCATTTTTCCAATTGCCTGGAAAGTCGATTTGACACGAGCTGTGGTGTGCTGTGCTGTGCTTAGCTGTGCTGTGCTGTGCTGTGCTGTGGTGTGCTGTGCTGTGGTATGCTGTGGTGTGCTATGCTGTGCTGTGCTGTGGTGTGCTATGCTGTGCTGTGCGGTGCTATGCTGTGCTGTGCTGTGCTGCGCCATCCATTCAGGTCCTTTGGGTCAACAAGCTGCGCGACCAGCAGCACATGTTCGCTGTGGATTACAGCCTCATGGACGTCGCTACACCGCACCAAGGCGGCATTCCCATTGGCAAGCCACTCTTACTTGCTGCCATCCAGCCGTGCTCGCCTTCACTCGCCCGCCCTCATCACAGCGGCTGTGCCAGCAGCCTCGTTTCTGCCACCATGATTGCTTGCGCTATGCATGCCCCTTCGCCTCATATTGCCATGCATGGCCTTGTTGTGCCTCGGCCCTATTGCCAACAGCCCTTCCTCACATGTCTCTCTCAATGCCTCAACCGTACCTTCATTACCTTTGTCCCTCCCCCCCGTGCCCTTGCTGTCATTTCCCCGCCTCTCAACCGCGCCCCTTCTTTTCCACCTTCCCCCCTCTCCCCTCCCCCCCCACCTTCGCCCCAACTACCAGTGGTGCACCGGCACGGCGGCGAGACCGCCAGTGAGTACGACGGCCACCCGGAGGCGTGGTTCACGCAGCACGGCGACAAGGGCCCCGCCTTCCGCGCGCGGCGCTACACGTACCCCAACGACCAGCAGGCGGCCACGCTGTGGTACCATGACCACGCCATGGGCATCACGCGCTTGAACGTGGCGGCGGGCATGGCGGGGCTGTACATCGTCACCGACCCCCAGGGCGCGGAGAAGCACCTTCTCAAGCACCTGCCCGGCGCGGGGTACACAGTGGCGCTGGCCATCTCGGACCGGCGGTTCCACGCCAACGGGTCCATCGACTACCCCAGCCAAGGCATCGTGCCGTCCATGCACCCGCACTGGGTGCCCGAGTACACCGGCGACACCATCCTCGTCAGTGGACTCGTGAGTGCCTCGTTGATTCTCCCTGCCTGCCACTGCCCTCACCTCGCTTGCGCGAGCTCTTGAACCCACCAGCTTGCCACCTCTCTGGCCTCCTCATGTGCTCTCCACAACTCTCCTCCCCCCCCTTTCCTCTCAGGTGTGGCCGTACATGACTGTGCGCCGCACGCGCTACCGCTTCCGCGTGCTGGGGGCCGCCAATGCGCGCTTCTTCAACATGCGCTTCGTGTGCGCTACTGCCGCCAACTACCCAGACTTTGCACCGCCCTTCACCGGGCATGTGCTGCCCATGGTGCAGGTGAGAGACAGGCAGGACGGGCTTTGAGAAGACAAGGCGACACCAGCGCACCATTTCGTCTTCTCCCAGTACCCTTTCACTTGCTGCTGGCAGCCCTTGTTTCCCACTCCACCTCCCCATTTCCCCACCCACCCCCCTCCCAGATCGGCTCTGACGGCGGCTACCTGCCCGAGCCCGTCACGCGCGCCTCCCTGCTGCTGGCCCCCGGCGAGCGCTACGACCTCCTCATTGAATTCTCCTCACTGCCAGCTGACTGTGCTGACGTCATCCTCACCAACGACGCCCCTTCACCGTACCCCAGTGGCGAGCCTGTGACGAACGACACGGCCGTGGTCATGCGCTTCATCGTGGACCGCGACAGCGCCGTGCTGCCCGCTCCGCCCATTCCCAAGAGGCTCGTGGTGAGAGGCTTGCTCCAGTGGCTGCAGCCAGAGTGCCATCCGCATCCCTCCTTCCCCTGCGGGCGACCCTGTTGGCAACAGCAGCACTCCCTGTGTCTCATGCGCTCTCTATCCCTGTTGGACCTCCGTCTGTGCGCTCCAGGCCGTTCCCCCCGTGGACTTGTCCCAGGTGGCGGTGGAGCGGTGGATGGCAGCCGTGGAAGTCACGGACCCCGCCACTGACCTGCCCATCCGCGTCACCTTCGACCGCAAGATGTACCGCGACCCGCCCTCGGAGATCCCCAGGGAGGTCAGTCAAAAGGGGGATAAATGAGTGGCGCGTGGGTCGGGTGATGGGGGGTGCCATGCTGCTCCTGCCACCTTTCCACCAAAAACCTCCTTTCAATTTGCATAATTCGATACTAGCTTGTTTGATGTATGCATGCAACCCATCCGTATGGTTTTGCAGGGCTTGGAGGAGCTGTGGCATGTGCCCAACGCCCATCCCACCAATATCTGGACCCGGCCGTCCATCGGATCCCCCTCCCTTCTCATTGCACCCCACAGGGCTCGGAGGAGCTGTGGCATGTGATCAACACGACGCCCGACGCCCATCCCATCCACCTGCACCTCATTCAGCACCGCCCCGTTTCGCGCCGCCCCTTCGACCGCGCCGCCTACAATGCCGGCGCTTGCTCCTTCACCAATGCGTCCCTGCCGTCGTGCTTCACGGGTGCGGGGGCGGGCATGGCGGCGTACGAGCGCGGGTGGAAGGACACCACCACATTGCTGCCGGGGGAGGTGCTCACTCTCTGGACCGGCTGGTACTCCCAGGTCAGAAGGCCTCCTCGTTCCGTTCCTCTCACATGGTTGTAAGCCGTTTCCATTAGCCGGTTGCTTTGTGGCAATGCGTGGGATGCACTGACACACGCTTGTGGTTCTGAATGTGATGCGTGCAGGACGGGTCGCCCTTCCCTTTCAATCCCACTCGCAGCCCCGGCTATGTGTGGCATTGCCACATTCTGGAGCACGAGGACAACGAGATGATGCGCCCGCTCGTCGTCACGAAATAGGGTGCTGCTCGCTGAAGTGTGCTCGTCAATATCTACATTTACTACGTTACATCTAGATTGAATATGTCAATGTATCTTTTCATGAAATACAGCTTTATTTTCAATTTGTATCTGAAAGTGTCCACACATTATAGCAGGCCGGGGTCCTCCATACAGGGGTCCGCTTTTGTCGTTGCACTGCCGTGCATCCCATCCTCCTCATCGACCTTCCGCCTCATCACCATCTGCAGCAACGGCTCAGTCCCCTCATCGGGATCATCGCACGAATCACTTCCAACATCCGACGGCCACTCTTCGCCACCAAGCCGCTCGCCTGTCCCACATCGCCTGAATTTTCTGGGGAGGTGTCACGAGGTGCTCGGCTCAGCAGGTAAGCTCTTGAAGCTCTTGCATGCCAGGTCTAACGCCACGTCGTGTGGTCCATGTCGCCAAGCCTACTCAGGGTCCCGAATCTCGCGTTGCTCCCTCTGAAGCCATCGCTTCACCGCGCACGCCCCCTCGCGCACAAGCTCGTCAGGTTTGGCTCGTCCAATCAGCGCATCCTGCCCTCTTTTCCCGCACCACGTACCTCCCGGCATTTCCCACCTGCCACCGTCGCTCGTGTCCGCGTCACAGGACCAGCATTGACGCCACGGATAGTGCCCCGCTGTTATCAGACCATCTCGCCCGTCGCGGGCCTTGATGCTGCGCGCACCTGTGCGTTGAGGCGCGCCGAAGCTTTCCAGTGTCAGTCGCCGTCATGCGGCTGCGGCGGGGCTCGCTGCGCGGCAGCGGGGCGCGCGCGGGCGGTGACACGGCGCGGTACCTGGTGAACTCGCTGGCGGTGGCGTTCGTGGTGTCGCTGCTCTTCCTCTACCGCCTGCAGCGCCAGGAGCGCCGCGAGCAGGCCGACCTGCAGCGCGCTGAGCAGCAGCAGCAGCACCCCGTGCTCGAGGGTAGCGCGGGGGCGGACGGCGCGGGTGCAGTGAGCGGCGGTGGCGGGGGGCCGGGGGGGTTAAGCGCGAGTAGCAGCGGGGTGGATAGCGGTGGGGGCGAGGGTGCGAGTGGGCGAGGTGACGGGGCGGGCGAGAGCGACGCAGGAGGGCGCGAGGGGGGCGGGGGGGGTGAGGGCGATGGCGCTGGTGGCGCTGGTGGCGCTGGTGGCGCTGGTGACGCTGGTGGCGCTGGTGGCGCTGGGGGGGCGGAGTCTGCGAGCGGCGAGGGGAGGGGGAAGGATGAGGAGGACGATGAGAGGGGTGAGAAGGGGGACGGGGACGGGGAAGCCGCGGATGCCTTTGGGGGAGAAGTGGAGGCAGGGGGGGGTGCGAGCACCAAGGTGACGTCAGCTGGTAGTGATGTTGGTGGCAATGGCGATGGTGGTGGTGGCAGGAGTGGGAAGGAAGAGAGCGAGGTAGAGGAAGACAGAGACACAGAGAGTGCGGCAGAGAGGAGTGCGGCTGAGAGCGAGCGCAGTGAGGGCAGTGGGGACGATGGAGGAAGGAGTGCGGAGAGGGGGGGGCTGGAGGACGGTGAGGAGGGCGACAAGGGCGGCGCGGCGAGCAAAGCCGATGGGGACAGCGCTAAGAGCACGGCAAGGGCTGATGACAACAGCGATGGCGGCGATGGGGCGGGGCAGGGCACTGACGACGAGGCGGCGAGGGGCGGTGCTGGCGAGGGGGAAGGCAAGGATGGGGGGGGGGCTAAGAAGGGGACAGAGGAGGAGAGCGAGACAGAATCCGCGGCGGCGAGGGGAGGGGAGGGGAGCAAGGAGGAGGAGAATGACAATGAGAGCGGTGCAGCGAGGGAGGGTGGTGATGCGGCGGCTGCTGGAGGTGAGGCGGGAACAGCAACAGGCGTGGCGGCACAGCAAGGCACGGCTGAGAGGGCGGACGACGAGGGCGATGGTGAGAGTGCCATTGTGAGGGGCGGTGAGAGGGGCGAGAGTGAGGCAGAAGACGCGGGTGATGCAGTGGAGGAGGGGGGAGTGAAGGCGAGGAAGAAGCCTTTGAGCAAGAAGAGCAAGAAGGGCAAGAAGAAGGGGAAGAAGCGAAAAAAGAAGAGAAGCAAGAAGGCAAAGGCTAAGGTTGCTGATGAGTAGTGTTGTTTTGCATAGTGCATGCTCTCAGAATAACGCAATGACTAGAATGAGACAGGCAGGTTTTGTGCTATGGTGCTGTACTCTCTAAAAGCATGCACCTATCGAGCCAATAACAATATATAAATATGTTGACACTGTTGTGATATAATTGATACTTAGCATTTCTGTAAGTCGATTAAGTGTAGTTAGTGTCAAATCATACTGTAGAAGATAAGTCCGTCGGATGACGTCAGCAAATAGCGCTCGTCATAGCACAGTCGTTTCAGTCACGCGAACAGTCGCACCTCTTCATTATCATCTAGGGCGCATAGCGCGATAGTGACGAACAGGTACATTAGCGAATAGGTGCTTTTTGTAGAACTATAAATACTTGTTAGGTCTTTTCATTATTAACTTTGATTACCCACAAGTTCACATACTCAGGTTATTCAACCTTGACTATTACATTTTACAAGAATTCCGCTGTCTTAATAGTCTACAATTCCAGCAAAGATCCTGGACCAACACTTGAGGATTTGCCAAGTGTTCGTGTTTGCAGTTTTATGCTTAGTCTTCTACAACATCAGACGATTTATTTCAGACACCAGGCCCCCAAATTGGTTTTGGGGTGTATGATTCATCAGACTTGCCTCCCATCCAGGCCCCTAGATTGGTTTCCCTGATTTTCAGGGTAGGCCCAAAAAAACATTCTCATGAATCAGGATTCACTGGATTATTTTTCCAGAGCCAACTGTCAACTTATACATATATTGTTATATAGAAGTTATAGGCTAGATAGGGTATGCTCTTAGTGGGTACAACCCAAACGCTATATCTCCCTTGTTCTCCCTTCTTCTATTCATTCTTTCTAGTCTTAAAGCCCGCGGCCCAAATTGCGAAGCGCGACCTTCAAACGCACTGCGTTTGAAAGTCGCGTTTTCGTGGGTGTAGTGTTAACTTATACATGTTAGCTTTGTACAAGTTATAGGCTAGACTGAGGTGTGCTTTTAGTGAGTACAACCAACTAGTAGTTCTAGGTTTCTACCACTAGTTGATCATTCAGTTCTTACTTTAAAACCACAGGCTGAAATAGCATAGGGGGGGCTTTAAGAGCGCCGTTCTTGAAGATGGTTCTTTTGAAACAAAACGGGTTCCCGGTACGATTTTGCGAGGTGCGTTTTTGGGCAGCTCAACAATGATACAAACGCAGTAGTGCCGATTTGACGCGTGTGCGACGAGGCGGGAAACGCGTGCGCGACTCATTTGACTTTTCGCCAGCTTGGTGAAACGAAAAAAACATATTGTACCTCGGAAGTATTCGGCGTTCGTGTTCAAGCTTCACATTACGAGGTACCCTCGACCGCGACTTGCGACTAGGGCAAAGGTGAACTGTGCAACTTGTGAGCCGAACAGCCACATGGGTTGCGCGAAATGCGACCTTGTTGAACCTCGGGTTAAAAACCTATTGCATACCCATGGAGCTCTTGAAAAAACTGAGCTGTGTGAGCGGTCAGTCGCAACTTCATCCGCCGAGCATCTGACGCCAAATCAATCGTCGCGCACCAATAACGTAGCAAAGCTACTTCGCATTACAGACAATTTCTGGTCCCATCCCATTTCGGAAATAGAAAACGCACCAAAGGGTCTGCCCCTAAACGAAACATTTTTTCAAGAGCTCCTCACGTGTGCTAATCTAGCCTGTGGTTTTAACATGATATCACGCGTAGGTTAGAATCCCCCACCTACCGCTTCCTCCCGTCACCTAGCTCGGCCCCGCTGCTTCCCCCTGGGCCCCGTCGCGCCTCCTAGCCTAGTCGCGCCTCCTAGCTCCGTCGCGCCCCTCCTGGGCCCTTTCGTGCCTCCTAGCCCAGTCGCGCCCCTCCTGGGCCCCGTCGCACCTCCCCCCCCGTCGCGCCCCTCCTGGGCCCCTGCCGTGCCCCCCTAGCCCCGTCGCGCCCCTCCTGGGCCCCTGCCGTGCCCCCCTAGCCCCGTCGCGCCCCTCCTGGGCCCCGTTGCGCCCCTCCTGGGCCCCTGCCGTGCCCCCCTAGCCCCGTCGCGCCCCTCCTGGGCCCCGTCGTGCCCCTCCTGGGCCCCGTCGCGCCTCCTGGGCTCCGTCGCGCCCCCTAGTCTCGTCACGCCCCTCCTGGGCCCCGTCGCGCCACCCTAGCTGCGTCGCACCCCTCCTGGGCCCTGTCACGCCTCCTCGCCCCGTCACGCCCCTCCTAGGCCCCGTCGCGCCTACTAGGCCCCGTCGCGCCCTGCCTGGCTTCGCCGGGCCCGCTTGGCCCCGTCGCGCCTGCCTGGCCCCGCCGCGCCCTGCCTGGCCCCGCCGCGCCCGCTTGGCCCTGTCGCGCCTGCCTGGCCCCGCCGCGCCTCCCTGGTCCCGCCGCGCCTGCCTGGAACCGCCGCGCTTGCCCAGCCCCACCGCGCCCGCCTGGCCCTGTCGCCCCTTCCTGGCCCCTCCGCGCCTGCCTGGCCCCGCCGCACCTGACTAGCCCCACCGCGCCTACCTGGCCCCGTCGCCCCTTCCTGGCCCCTCCACGCCTGCCTGGCCCCGCCGCGCCTTCCTGGCCCCGCCGCGCCTGCCTGGCCCCGCCGCGCCTCCCTGGCACCGCCACGCCTGCCTGGCCCCGCCGCGCCTGCCAGGCCCCCACCGCGCCTGCCTGGCCCCGCCGCGCCTGCCTGGCCCCGCCGCGCCTGCCTGGCCCCGCCGCGCCTGCCTGGCCCCGCCGCGCCTCCCCTGGCCCCGCCGCGCCTACCTGGCCCCGCCGCGCCTGCCTGGCCCCGCCGCACCTACCTGGCCTCTCCCACTACTCGCCCGGCCCCTCTTCGTGCCTGCTCAGCCTGTCGTGCCTCCTCGGGCTCCGTCCACTCTGCTCGTCAGCGCTGGGGCGCCTTGTGGCCCCCGTGCTGGAGAGTGCCGCCGCCGTGTCCCTGCGTCGCTGTGTTTCTGCGGAGCTGTGGAGCTATGCCGCTGACCCTGCACGATGGCTGAAATCGTGCTCCGACTGGACGCCGAGGGCCATGCGGTTGACTTCGCCGCCTGGCTCTCTGATCTCCGCCGCCACCTTACAGGTCAGCGCCAGAATGGCCACTCTTTGGTTGTCCATGTCGATGGCTTGCTCCCTTGCCCCCCCGCACCTGCTCCCCTCCCTGCTGACCCCTCCTCTGCTGACGGTGAGACCTTCTCTACTGCTGCGCTTGCCCGTGCTGTTTGGGACTCCCGCGATGCAGTCGCTCAGGTTGCTATTAGCCACGCCCTCCCTGTGTCTGAGCGCTAGCACTTTGCTACTATTGAGACGGCCAAAGCTTACTTAGACGCCGTTATTGCTCGCTATTCCACACCCGCGTCTGCCTCTGCTGGCCGCTTGCTATTCCCTATGCTTTTCCCAGACCTTGCAGCCTTCCCTACCGTCGCAGACTTTGCCACTCACCTGCGTGCCCTAGAGACCCGCTATCGCACTGCCAGCACTGCTGCCCAGCTCACTGCGCTCCCCCCCCCTTTCTGCATGACGCTCTATTATATCGCCATGCGCCTGCCAGACCGCCTTGCTAATGCTCGCGATCACTTCCTTAGCCAGCACCCGGGTGACCTCACCCTCACCGCCTTTGTCGATACCCTCACCGAGATCGAGACTCGCCAGCGCACTATCGCTCAGTTGAGCGGTGCACCGGCAGTCTCTATCTTTCACGGCTGTGCCCCCTCCCAGTGCATGTTCACTGACGTTTCGGCTGTGGTCGCCATGGCGACCCCTCTCACCGAGACGGCTGCTGCGGTCCACCCGCAGCAGCGCTCGCGCCGCGGTGGCCGTGGTCGTCAGGGAGGTAGGGGTGGTGGTGGTGGTGGTCGTGACGGTACTCCGCCTGAGGGGACTACCACCGGTGGGCAGGAGTAGCAGCCCCAGCCGCAGCAGGAGCAGCCCCAGCAGCAGCCGCCGTCCCAGCAGCAGCCGCCGTCCCAGTAGCAGCCGCCGCAGCCGTGGGCCCGTCTCCCGCCTGGTTGGCCCAGCGCCTCCGGAGGTGGCGGCCGTGGTGGCGGCCCACGCAGCTCGGCGTCTACCAGCGGATCCGGTGCTGTGACCTGCCAGTACCAGCTTCAGACCGGGCCTCTTCGTGGCACTCTGTGCCGCCGCCCGCACCCGACCGCCCGCTGTTTCCGCCGCCTCAACGATCTCTTTCGTCGTCGCTTTGGCCCGGCCCCGGACCTCCTCGACTGGCACAGCCTGCTCCGCCAGGGCGTGCTGATCTTTGAGTTAGACATGGATCAGATAGGTGCTGCTTTGCATGCCTTGTATTCTGACGCTTCTAGTGTTGCTGGATCTTATAACCCTGTGTACTCTAGCTTAGGTGTTGCACCATTGTGTAGCTTAGCTTCCCCTGCTGCGTCAGGCGTAGGACTGCCTCGTTTGCCTAGCCTAGTCTCTGCACCGGCTCCGTTCCCGGCCTCCGCCGCTGCTTCGCTGTCCTTCACACTCGACTCCGGTGCCTCCGCCTGCTTCTTCCGCGACCGCTCCACGCTCACGCCGCTTGCTACGCCTGCTGTTGTTTCTCTCGCTGACCCCTCTGCGGGTCCTGTTGTCGCTTGCAGTTCTACGTCCCTTCCCTGTCCAGCAGTTCCCTCGGGCTCCCTTACAGGTCTCCACGTTCCCTCGTTCTCGAGGAATCTGGTTGGTGTCGGCTGTCTCCAGGACTTCGGCGTCACCACCACGTTCCCCGGGCACGAGCGGTTCGCTGTCTGCTCTGAGTCTGTCTCACGTGCCCTTCTTGCGACGTTCCCCCGGGACCCGGTGTCCGGTCTGTTCACCCTAGACACCACTTCCCCCCCGGTTGGTGGGTCCTCCCAAGTCGCTGCAGCTTGCTCGTGTCGGTCCCTCACTCACCCGTCCCTTCTCTGGCACCACCGCCTAGGTCACCCTGCACTCCCGCGTCTGCGTCATATGTCCCAGCACGGTCTTGTCTTAGGCCTCCCCGCGTCGCTCTCCGCCCTTCCGCTCTCGCCTCCTCCACCGTGCACGCCTTGCGTTGAGGGCTGGCTCCGCCGCTCCCCTCACTCCTCCTCGCTGCGCCCTGCTACTGCTCCCCTTCAGACCATGCACCTGGACGTTTGGGGCCCTGCCCCCGTCCCCGGACTGCGCGGTGAGCGCTACTTCCTTGTGCTCGTCGATGACTACACGCGCTACACCACGGTGT